GAGGATCGCTACTAATCTACTTGCAAGCTTTAGCTTTAATGGCGGGGTCAAAGATTGTACCTTTTGGATAATATCAGCACCGAGTTTCTCCTCCGGATCCTCAATAGTGTCCTTTATTGCAGGAACACAAGTCGAGAGATGCACCAATGCAGCACCACCACCTGGCACAATGCCTTCCTCGATAGCAGCAAAAGTTGCGTTTTTGGCATCCTCAATACGAAGTTTACGGTCCTCCAGCTCGGTCTCAGTTGCAGCACCAACTTTAATTACAGCAACACCACCGGACAATTTAGCAATTCTCTCGGCAAGTTTCTCAGAGTCGTAAACCGAGTCAGTCTCGGACAACTCCTTTTTCAGTTGGGCAATTCTAGCCTGCAACTCATCCTTGGATGCAGCATCAGCAATTATGGTTGTGGAGTCTTTGCTTATTGTTATCTTTCTTGCTATACCCAATTGGTCCACATCGGTGTTCTCCACAAGTAAGCCCAAATCAGAAGCTTGATATTCAGCTCCTGAAATAATATAGCACCACAAATAGTAAAGAACACCGACCCTAAGAATTAATTGTCTACGAAAAATAATATATGCTTCGTTTCTGACCGATATAGGGGTTGAAATTGGACGAGGGATCAAAATTAGCATTTTCGAAAAAGTTGCAATTTTTCGGGAAGTGGAAAACTAATTCAAAAAAATCAGAAAAATCAGACTCTTGGCGATTGGAATGACAATTGACAACATAATAATAAACGTAAATTTTTCGGAATTTTATCGAATTTTCGGGACTACTTTTTCAAATCAAAATCGGATCCGAAATTGGAGTCTATTATGCATCCCAATACCATTCCCAAAAAAATCGGAAAAATCAGAAGTTTGGAATGAAAATTATTCTTGTAAAATTGGAAATATTCAGATCGAAATCTGCAGAATTCAAAAGTCCCGTATAAATTTAAAACCTTAGACCAATTTGATAAGTCTAGTTTAAGAAAGATTTTCGTTTACCGGTCAAAATAGCGATATCTTGAAGAAGGGCTTTCCTCCTTTCTCCAAAACCAGGTGCTTTGATCGCAGCCACATTCAAGATTCCTCTGAGCTTGTTCACAACAAGAGTGGCCAAAGCCTCCCCAGTGACATCTTCTGCAATTATAAGCAAAGGTGATCTCAACTGAGTGGTCTTTTCCAACAAGGGAATAATGTCCTTGATCGAAGAAATCTTCTGGTCGGTAACTAATACTCTCGCATTCTCGAATTCAACAAGCAGCTTTTCTGGGTTGGTCACAAATTGTGGTGATATATATCCTCTATCAATCTGCCAAAATGATTTTTTTTTAAAACATGATCCAATATGAACTAAAGGTACAAATAAAGTAAGAAAATAGGTAGAGAAAAGCGACATGTTTTTTTTATTACCTCCATTCCCTCTTCTACATCAACGGTGGTCTCAAATGAAGACGATGACTCAATGGACAGAACACCATCGGGTCCCACCTTGTCGACTGCATCAGCAATCATTGCTCCAATGCTCTCGTCATTTCCAGCAGAAATTGTGGCAATAGCTGCAATTTGGATTTGTCAATGTAACAATTAAATAATTAGCTAATGTAGAGGCTAAAATTATATAGCTGGATTTAAAAAAAATTCAATACCTTTGATATCGTCACGACCCTTAATGGGCCTGGCTCTGTTTTCGAGCTCGTTAATCAAACCGACCACAGTTTTATCGATTCCCTTCTTCAACGAGACTGGATTCGCACCGGAGGTAACACTTAAAAGGCCGAGTTTGATAATTTCACGAGCAAGAACGGATGCTGTGGTGGTTCCATCACCAGCAGAGTCGTTTGTCTTGCTGGCAACCTTTAAACGAAATTCAAAGTTATATAATATAAATTAATGCGGAATATATAAAAGCAATGAGAAATAAGTAGCTAGGTACTAACCTCCCTAATCAAAGCAGCACCGGCATTTTCCATGGCATCGGGTAACTCTATTGCACGTGCGATTGTGACACCATCGTTAACCACCTTTGGGGCACCGAACTCATCCAGGACAACATTTCTTCCTACATAATAGTAAGAAAAGAAAACCATTCATAAGCACAAATAAAAATCATAAATCGATAAGCTGAAAATGAACCGCTTGTACTCTTTCTACAGTCACCACAATCACACCTAACAGAATTCACACTAGCTAAATAATCTACAATCTTTCAAGCCAAGAAAACTACATTATATCTACAAGATAGCTGGTCTCTTCATACAAGAAAAAGCATAAACGTGTTGTTTATCGTGCAACTCACCAATTAAAAAAGGTGCCTACAAAAAAATAAACAATAATACATTGCCATCTATGAATTTACTCACACAAATAGTCAACTATATCATCTCTCAAATTCGTCTTATGCAGGATTACAATGTTAAAGCAATCATCACAACGAAACTCTAAAATCAGCAACAACTAATCAACATCAATTTCCCTCAAAAGTAATACGAAATCGAACTATCAAACCTGAGTAATGTGTACCACTGAAACTATCAAGACTTATCGATATTCAGACAATTTTTTAAACAATTATATCGTCATCAATTACATTACTCTCCACTCATCCCACAACACCATAGTACTGAAGAGAACAAACAAACAATTCAGGAAAGTCAGCTCAAAATTGAAACAAAACAAAGTGAACCAAGAAATTACCCCTAGGGCCAAGAGTAAGACCGACAGCATCGGCGAGCTTGTCAATTCCAGCCTGCATCGCAGACCTTGACTTCTGGTCAAACGCAATTTCCTTAGCATTGGCCCTCACCACAAACCGATTCTTCGCTTGCTTCGAACCGAAATTCTGCCCCTGCCTCAATTGGCTAACTTTCCTGTTCTTCAATCCCGACTGGAACAACAACAACAAAAAAAAAACACCGGAAAATAAATTACATAAAACAATTAAAAAAAATTAAATCGAGAAAATGCAGAAAGAAGAAGCGGTTAGGAATACGCAGACGTACTTGCTTGGAAGGCGAAGGAAGGATGGAGGCTGTAGAAACTGCGTTAGCTGAAGCCATTTTCGTGGTGAGTTATCTCTGCAGAGGAGTGGATAAGAGAGAGGAAGTAGAGAGAGAAATGTGCAAAGAGTAGAGATGTAAAGACTAGGGTTTATAGAGAGAGAGAGTGAGTGTGGTGGTGTATTTTAAAGGGTATTCTAGAACATTCTCTTTAGTTCTACAACTTTGCTTTCTACCCCTATGGTTGCCCAATGCCCATTTCATGACTACAATTTATAAAATATCTCGTTAATATATAAATGTAGTGATTTCATTTTCTTATTTAATAATTATGTAACATGTTTTGATTTCATGATTTTTTTGGTTTTTATTTTTTAATGTTTTTACTAATTCCTTCAAAATTAATTACGATTTGAATGTATATATGGTCGAAAAATTAAAAGAAAAGGATTTTGAAATAATAAAATGAGTCGGGTGAATTTTATTTTCTTAATGCAAGTGTTCGTTACATATTTATCAAGGTAAATTATTCCATTTCTCGAAAAAGAAAAAAATGGTAAATAATTTTATTTACTATATTTTATTTTCTTATTAAAAGGGCAGATGTATTTAACAATCCAACGCCAATAAGGAAGTTATACTCATTAAGATAAATGGTAAATTACATAAATGGTAAATTACGAAAAGGTTAAATTACCAAAAACCCTATCATGTTTGGGTAATTAGTAATTATGCATCTACTCTTATGGAGTCAAATTCAACATAATCTTCTAGATTTCGTGGGATGTTGTTTATTTTATCCTCGTTTTGTGCAAAAACGCAATTTTTATGCACGACAATCTGATACTTTACAAGCCAATAGACTTAAGATCATATTATTTCAAAACGTAGAGCTCGAATGGCAAAAAACGGGCCGTGATTTACGGTAACCAAGGCAGCAGCCTCAATAACACAGTAAATAGTTTTTTCATGGATCAAAACAATCTGAAAGATTTTCCGAAGAGGCATACATAATTAATGTTCTGGACAACGATGAGAGCAAAAAAATGGAGGATAAATATTTCGTGTTTCGAGATTTATTTCATTCGGAAAGAATCAGATATAGTTTCACCAGTTGAGAAAATAATCGACACTTTTGGAGTATGATGAAGATTTGGCGGTGCATCCCTGCATACAAGTGACCTGTAGACGAAACAGATACACGAACGAGCTATTTTAGAAAGAACGAAATTGCAAAAATAAACAAAATGTGGGAATGATATTAGGTGTCTTCTTAATATACCGTTCTTTAATTAATTAATTATAGTCGTCTGGTAATTCCACGTGTTCGTGTTGAGCAGCCTGCCATCGCTTCTTCTTTTTTGTCCGAAATGTTGGGCAATCTGCAATTTAATTATAGTACGAGGAAATTGTGTAAAAAATTTATTTCAGTTTTGTGACAAAGCAAAATGGGGATTCTCGAGTTCGAAGAAAATATGAAATAACCGAGTTGACATTATTAGTACCTCCTTCGGGATATATCGAGTTGTAATGAACCTCAGCCCAAAAGCTCAGAGAAATAACTGCACAAGAAAGAAATAACTACGTTTTGTTCAACATACATAAACTACTACAAAAACAAAACCCGATTAGAAAGTAGAAAAAACCGAATAATTGAGGATCGAGAATTTACCTCGTTCGGACTTTTGAATGCTTGGCAGAATCTCAATGTAACAGGTATCCTTAAACGATGTAATGACAAATATTTTTATGCCATACTGCATAAAGTCAACAACAGTCGTCACTATGTACGAATCACACACTTAAAGAAACAAGAAATCGAGACATTCTGTAGAATCAGATTTTTTTTTACCAGTACTAAATTACCGAATGACGAATTTTACCTAAATTACCAAAAAAAAAAAAAAAAAAAAAAAACATACAGAATCAGCAGCAGCTTGTAAAGTGACGTGATCTCCCCACTCTCCGTTCCTAATATCGATCCACAAAATGTAAGAAAAAATAGGTACAGAAACGAGTGATCAAATAATTAAAGTGCGGGGTTATAAATAAAAAATATACTTGGACATTTTTGCCAGATATTGGTCGTAAGCCATAGGTACATATCCTTCGTATATCTCTGGGCAAGACCTAAGCTAGAAAATTCGAAATGATGAAATATTAGTTCAAGAAGAATCGAGATACAGTTTTTCTTTTAAGGAAAAGCCGAAGATTCAGACACGAGAAAAAGTTGCCAACCTGATTTACAATTTGTTGTCTGACAAATTTGTGATGCTCTGGAGTACGATAAAACTGGTCTGACAGTGCTCGAAACTGAGAAAAACCTAAACCATAGTTAGTCGTATATAATATGGAAGATGGAATTAACAAGAGATTTAAACATTGTCCATTTGTTTTAAGAAATTACGGCCACCCTGAGGTAAAGTCAAATTACAACCCTTCCCTCATCTATGAATCTTCTTACGCGTCCACCTTTATGGTGTCAAATTCTAGGGAAGTGCACGGCTCGGTTCGGTTCGGTTTTTGGCTAAAACCGAACATGAACCGAACATATCGGTTTTTGTAAAATTAAAAACCATGTATGTCGGTTTTTTATCAGTTCGGTTTCTTTCGGTTTCGGTTTTTTCGGTTCGGTTTCGGTTATTTTTCGGTTCAAGAGTAACTTATATTCAAGTTGTACAAACAAAAGAATACAATTACAATTACTTTCACAACTTACTAATGCAATGAAAATATAAAATCTTTAACCCCATAGGACTTAACGTAATTTAGATGATGTATTATGCTTCATTTTTTTTTCTACTTTCATCTACCACATTATTAAAACCATGAACTCAAGTAAATTTTTAATTACTAAATAAATAAAATACAATGTCTCAATTTATGAACAAATGCTTAGAATGAGACAAGTAATTGAAAGATAGAAAATAAAAATTAGGGTAAAATAATACATATATTATATAAAATGAAGTCATTTTATAATTTCGGTTCGGTTTTTCGGTTCGGTTATTTACCTTTCCACCATACCGAACCGAATAATTCGGTATTTCAAAAATAAAAAACCGTACATGCGGTTTGCTATTCGGTACGGTTTGAAACGGCTCGGTTTTTCGGTTCGGTTTTTCGGTTTTTTTGCTCACCCCTATCAAATTCAACATAACTTCTTGATTCCGTGGAATGTTCTCTAGTTTGTACTCGTTTTGTGAAAAGGGCAGTTTCTGATGCACCACAATCCGATATTTACAAGTCAAGGACACATCTTATGATCATCTCGAATGGGTAAAACGAGTACAAACTGGAGAATATTCCACATAATCTAGAAGATTCCACTACATTTGACACCAAAAGGGTGAACGTGTAAGAAGATTCATAGTTAAGGGGTTAGTTGCAATTACCCAAACAAGAGGGGTTTTTTCATAATTTGACTTTACCTCAGGGGTGGCCGTAATTTACCCTACAAATTATTACATCTATATAACACGCATGATTTCAAATTCTTGGTTCAGAAAATACGCGAAATTACTGATAAAGAAAATATACAATTTCTCTCAAACGTGATTAAATAAAGATAACTGACCTGGCAGTTACCATCACCTTGAACCTTGAATTCGACGAGCTCGTACACCTTTAATCTACAGAAGAAGCAATTACCCGAGTTTATGTTTCGCAATAGAAATCTATATACTTAGTTATTTATATAAGTGGCCTTGCACTTAAGTTATTATATCCATCCTTAATACCTGTCCAAAAGCCTTTGATGATCTAAACTTGCTTCGTCGATGGAGGGTATTTCACCGTTAATTTTTGGAATATGCTGCAAAAAACGAGGCACGTATAATAAAACAGAAATATTAAAGTTTAGTCTTGTTTTTTTTTTTTTCTTTTGCAGTGAACCAAGAAGAGTGTGTTTTGAACATATTTGACTGGACTCGACTCAAAAAAAGATAAAACCAATACATTTCGATCCAATTTATCTCGTTTTAATTACCATTGAAGTATAACGAATATAAACTTACAGGAATAGAAACCATTTGGTTCAATCGTTTGCCGACTTCTCCATCAAAAGCATACCCATCCATTAATTCTAACGAATACGACCATTCCTCCTCGCAATACGACTCATCTCCCGGGCTAGAACTCGAAGCAGAAATTCCCAAATCAGTTTCTTCTTCAATCCGATTCTCATTTCCTACAATTCATACGAAAATCCATTAACCAAAAGAAAAACCCGTTAAGTTGGAGAAACCAAGAATCGGAATACCTTCATTAACATAACCGTAATTTTCCAACGAGTGTGGAAACCAATCGTGGGGGCCGAATGAAGTTTGTAGGTGTTCCACCCCTTCTTGGAAAGACTTGATCGGTTCATTTACTGAAAGTTGAGATAGTTCCTCGTGAAGAGAATTTATGCTGATGTCGTTATTCTCAACGGCATAACTTGAGTCAGCTTCGAACTGATATCCTTTTAGGTAATGCCCTGGATAGCAGTCTGTATTATGTTGCGCATGGGACCCACAGTATCCGCAGTTAGAATACGGGTCTCCGTCGAAAAGTTGAAGCCCCCAACGAACAACATCTGGATCTTGCTCGTATGTAATCATATTTGGTGTATGTAATAATATATCAATTACAGTATTCCGGGCTCCAAAAAAACCGAGGCAAATAGCTGCATAAGGGAAAATATAGAAATTCTTTGGTGAAAAATGAAGTTATAAGTAATGAAGAGGCACGAATGCACACTGGTATATTTGACCAATAGCATGCAGCTAATATTCGAAGAGGCAGGATAGTTGTTAGACGAGTATCAATGACTCACGAGGTATAATAGTTTATGAATTTCCATGTCGTATTTTCCAAGAAAAAAAAAACGAAAGTAATTCCACTTATGTAAGGCTAGACACTCCGTACGACGATTAAGTAATAGTAAAATAAAACGCTATGCACATCCAATTTCCAAATGTGGTATCCAACGAAACCAAATCCAATGCGTAAAACCACAATAACAAAAAAAAAGATAAAATTGTTTGCCTCGAATTCGATTCGATTGTTTATCAAATAGAACCCAAATCAGCAAACTCGACAAATCAATCATATAATATATCTAATGCATTTGTATGAATTCACAGCAATGGCTACTTTAACTTGAAGAAATCAAACCCTCAAACAATATTGCAACAACACATTGATCTCGAAATTACTTTCGAAAAACGATGATCAAGCAGAGGAAAAAAAAAACATTTCCAGACAAAGAAACAGATCAACTGAAAAGCTAAACATATCGGTGTCCGTACGGACAAAGAAATCAAAGCCCCATCTCAAGTAATGAATGAACACAGTTTGTTGAAATCAATGGCATTGCCCACAAAAAGAGAGCAGAATTGAAGAACAAGCAACCCAAAATGAAACAAAACCCACCTCGAATTGTTGTCTGAATAAAAGTTTGTTGCAGTTTCGGGGCGCCGCAAGAGGAGACGCAAAGAATTGAGTGAAGGGATTAGAGAGTGATGGATATTTATGGATTGGAAATAATAATAATAATGGTAATAAAGGGATTATTGATGATTCGGTGGTGTGGAAAAATGTCGTGAATTTCGGGGGGTGGGGTGTCATGTCACGAGACGAAACTGTTTCTAGAGAGAGAGAGAGAGAGAGGGAGAGATGGGAGAGAGCGATGAGAGAGAGAGAGATGTAGAGAGAGAAAGAGATGAGAGAGAGGACAATGGAATTGGAATCTCAGTTGGGGGTCTCAATTCCGAGAGTGTGTATACAGAAGAAGCAGTTGTTGTCAAACTGACGGCGATTCCTTTACCTTTGTCCGTTTTCTCGTTTTCTTGTCTTTCCTTTTTATTTTCTGAAATGATTTACGCCGGCAGTAAAATTACGAATGTCGTTCACAAAACATTTCCTTTCTCTCTCTAAAAACTCCCCAATTCACTCAAACCCCAAAACCACAAAAAAAACCCCAAATTTCACAAAAATCCTAAATCCTTCTCACAATCCTTCCAAATCCGAAAATCTTCTCAATTTGAAAGGTAATTACTCATCTAAACTAGTTATATATATTGAATTTGTTGTTAATTATATGAAAATCGAAGAAAAATCGCGATTTGAGGGTCAATTTTGAATAAAAACTGCGCATCTTCCACGCCCAAAATGGGAGTGTGAAAGCAGTTTTCACGCCTAAAACAGGCGTGGAAACTGCTTTCACCACGCCTGTTTTGGGCGCGGAAAATTGGTTTGGGCGTTCGGTCCGGACGCCGGTTCTGGACCGGTCGTCCGGTTCAATTTTTTTTTTTATCCCTGTATAAATGACATGGTATAATATATTTAAATAATTATCAGTTAATGAACTTGCTCTGGCCTAGTTGGTCAGGCATCTCGTTTTTTCGCAATAGACCCGTGTTCGAGCCTTTCCTGCAGCGTATATTTATTACTTTTTTGCGAAGTATAACGAAGTCTATAAATACAATTCAATAATAATTTATTATCAAAATGGCTCTAGCCTTGTTGGTTAGGTAAGCCTGTGCTTCTAAAATAATGTCCCGGTTCGAATCCTTGTGGCAACATAAATATGTATTACGCGCCCAAACCGGGCGTGAATCGGACTTTTTAGCTTCCAGTTTGGTCGTGGGTCGCGTTTTCACGATTTAAAGAACAAAAACGAACAAATTTTACCTCGTGAATCGGACTTTTTAGCTTCCAGTTTGGTCGTGGGTCGCGTTTTCACGATTTAAAGAACAAAAACGAACAAATTTTACCTCATTAGATTCCATATCTCGATCCTCATTCGATGCACTCATTTTTTTTTGCAAATGGCTACAGTAACATGAGTTTTGGAATGATTTCTAATATAAAAGCTAAAATTGTAGAGAAAGAAAGATAGAGAGTGGATTTTTTAAAACGACATTCGTAATTTTGCTACCGCGAATAGCACCTCCCTTTTATTTTCTTCCGGGTTCGCGTTTTCACGATTTAAAGAACAAAAACGAACAAATTTACCTCATTAGATTCCATATCT